AGGGGTGTTTGTTGCGGTGAGGGTGTGGGAAGGAAGTGATTTGGGTGTGGGGGAGGGGATTATTGAGTTTCTGGGTGTGGGGTCGGAGAGGGAGGCTGTTGAGTGGGGGTGGGGGTGGAGTCAGGGATTGATGAGGGGCTCGGGAAGCGGGGAGCTTGATAAGGGGCTGAGAGTGTGTCTGGTGATGAGGGACTGAAGACCCATGTCCAGTGCCCACCTCCCCTGGCAGCGATGGCAGCATTGATAAAGATAACAGTGACACCAGGCAATGGGAACGAGGAGCTCAGCCTGAGATTTGGATATAAACAGTAACTGCTGGTACCTGACATTCTAACCAGTTGGCATCGCCAAGATCAACCCTGTCTGTTTGGCTGCCAGTCTAACCCAATGATTGGCCGGGACTGGAGTATTTGACGGGAGAGGTTTGAGGAGTGGGTTGGGTGTTTGGAGGAGGGTTTGGTGATCGGGGGGTCATGGTGACAGTGAAATAAGACTGACTGGGCCTCTGTCCGATCCACGTAGGGTGGAAACGATCATGAGATCTTCCACGATCCCAGGACAATCGGACACACCGTGTCATCCCCAGAGGATACAGTCCAGATCTGTAAGGAGCTCTTCCTGTAGGAATAAACTGTGGACACATCCTGTCACTCCCGGATCTTGAGCCTGGGAATTCTGCTTCTGGAATTCATGGAGGGGCAAACAGAAGTGCAGGTTCCCCTTGCCCATTGGTGAGCAAGTAACTCAGCCATGTCAACAGCAAGGAACTGTGGGATATCATTCCTGTGGGATGTCACTCATCCAGTTCCATACCAGTGTGACCAGAATCACTTTATTTGTTGTTCACAGTCAAATGTACATTTTCTTTTGTACGTGGCTACAAGATGGAACTAGAGTTGGAAAAGAGATTTCAGAAACCTGCTTCACAGTGCTACCCAGTGGCCAAGGGCCAGTACTACACCGTGACAGTTCGAGGAGAAAATGTTGACATAGCCATTTACAGTGATGCATGTTGATGGAAAAAACACCCCCCAAGAAGAATTGTAACAACAGGAAGCAAAAGGGCTGGAAGTGCAAAACTTAGAACCAAAGTTTGCATGATCTCTTGAACGTTAAGAACTGAGCGGATGAGATTGCAGAGAATTGAAAGACAGGACCAGGTGAATGAAGCAGTGATGGTTAGAGGGTGCCAGACTTTTTTATTTAAAAATCCGGAAACGGTGAAATGTGGAGGCTGTGATTTTTCCACAGCTCAAAGTCCTGGGAGATGATGGTTTAAGATGAGAATCTGAGGCAAGGGAGGAGGAAGACTGTATTGTCATTTATAAACAGCAGGGCAGGACAGGTTGTGTTGTAGAACAGAGACACCTAGGGGTTTAGGTACATAATTCTTTGAAAGTTGCGTCACAGGTAGAAAGAGTGGTTAAGAAGGTGGTTAGCATGCTTGCCTTCATTGCTCAGACCATTGTGTATAGGGAGTTGGGATGTTATGTTGAGATTGTACAAGACATTGATGAGGCCTAGTTTGGAGTACTTGGTCCAGTTCTGGCCTTCCTGTTATAGGAAGGGTATTATTCAGCTGGAGAGGGTTCAGAAAAGATTTATCAGGAATGGAGGGTTTAAGTTATAGGGAGAGGCTGGGACTTTTTCCACTGGAGCGTCGGAGGTTGGGGGCTGACCATAGAGGTTTATAAATCATGAGGAGTATGCATAAGTGTATAGCAATGGTCTTTTTTCCCAGGGTGGGGCATTTCAAAACTAGGGGGCAGAAAGAGGAAGAGTAAAAGGAGTGAGGAAAGGGGAGGAGGTCTGTGCTGTAAGGAGCAGGGTGAGAGATGGATGGTAACATTTGCATTTTGTACACATCAGAGAAACTCAGTATAGATTCAGCAAGGAGGAGTAGGAACGTTGGTATTTATTCTCTAAGACTTGGGGTATAAAAGTCATGAGACTTCCACGAGTGAGAGCAGACATAGAGTACAGGACAGGTTTGGTCTCGCCCACCCCAAGAATTGAGAGAGGGTCTATTTGGCCGAGTCTGGAGGTGAAGGTGTTGTCCTGATGGGGAAAGATTGGGCAGATTGGGTCCAGACCCATCAGAGGTTTGGCAAATGAGATTGAAACATTGACAGTAAGATTGCGAGGGGTCATGACAGGGTGGGTGGTGAGAGAATGTTTCCTATCAGCATGTAAAGGACAAAGTGTAAAACTGAAGGGACCCAGTTACAGCCAAGATGTGGAGGAGTTTGTTGTCTCAATGAGTTTTTATTCTTGAGATCTCTTCCCCCAGCGACTGGCTGAGGCTGGATTTTTTTGAGTCTATTCAAGGCCTTGTCAGATACATTTCTGATTGACAAATGGGTTAAGAGTTATGAGGGAAAGACATGAAACGGGCTGTTGGGACTACAACCTAATCAGCCATGACCTTATCGAAGGGATAGCAGACTGAAGGGGCTGAATGGACTCCTGGTGCTGCTATTCCTTACATTTTTATTTGTCTCTTCTACTCAGCCTTGCAGGACAGGCTCTGAAAGATGTAATGCATCTTGGGTATTGATGATCATTGCTGTCACAGGGTGAGCACGGTGTTAAAGATGCCAATTTTCATTGGGCCATATTCATTATTTGAACTTTTGCACTCTCAAACCATCATGTTTGTCCACTCAAAGCTTTTTAATTAAAAATAAAGTAATCCACTTTTTAAAATAATTATTTAATGTGTTCTGCAAATTAAAGTCTGTCTCTGCTCCTACATGTCACTGTCGTACCCAGGCGATTAGTGCTCAACTCGTGGACAATCCAGGAGGTTATTGAATTCATAGTCAATAAACGAATCAGGAAATTAAAAGAAAAACTCTCAGCCTTGTCAGCGATTGTTGTAGCAATCCATCTGCTTCACTAATGTCCTTTAGGGAAGGAAACTGCCATCCTTACCTGGTCTGGGCCTACACACGTAGCTCCAGACCAACAGCAATGTGGTTAACTCTTATCTGCCCTCTGGGCAATTAGGGATGGGGAAGAAATGACTCCCACATCTCTCGAACAAGTTTTTAAAAATCAAATTGTTCACGGAATGCAGTGTTCAACTTTTAAGTTTGAATTTTCAAATTAGCAAAAAGGATTTCATTTTCACTTGGAAATTTGTTGCGGGAGTTAGTGCCATAGTTGGAATATGCTAATTCTGATATAGGCTCTTTTCCTGTTTGGATTTAGATTTAGGTTTTATTGTGTACAGGAGTACAGGGAAAAGTGTATAATGTCACCACACATGGCACTATCTTCAGTACCAAGGTCCCTAGGCACAAAAATCTAGGTACAAATTGGTCAGAGAAACAGAGTTTTAAAAAGTTATGCATTACTCCATAGAATAATCCTACCCAGAGCGGCTGGTGACATCTAAAATCTGGACTTGAAAATTAATCCCAGTCCTTGACAATTGTCAAATAAAACACAAGGGAATCAGGCAGCTTTACCTGGTTTGGCCTACACATGGCAGCTGGGGACGCGACAGCAAATGTCAGACTTCTCGGTGATTCCTACTTCCTTTTGAAAGACTAAAGAAGCAGAAATGGATCCCGTCAGGATACCAGACTGTTCCTAAACAGTGCCCAGGCCAGTTCACCCGGTGAACCCATCAGAAAAGTCACAGGGTGGTTACAGCTTCCCTTTATCACAGTGGGAAGGGGAGGTTAGAATGATAGACCCCCGAGGACTGGAGACACAGAGCGTTCTTTCCCGGATTTCTATCCGATGTTTCTCTCCCCACAGCTTCCAGGTGAATCGGCTTCATGTTTTGAGTGAGAATTGTTAAAAGCCAACGGCATATTGTCAGGATTGTGAAGGAGGAGAGTTCTGGAGGACAGCAAATTTATAATGGTTATTTGTGAAACTAGGTCTGAAATAACTCACACAGAGGCTTAGTGATGGGATACTGGTCTCTCTGGTGTGAGTGAGTGTGTGTGTGAGTGTGACTGTTTGTCAGTGAGTGTGAGAGTGTGTGTGTGTGTGTGTGTGTGTGAGTGTGACTGTTTGTCAGTGAGTGTGAGACAGAGCGCACTGAGACCCACCAGACACCGGTTTAAAGTGTAAAATGTCAGCAGCCATTGGCTCTGGTGACCATATGCAGGACTGGGCCGATTTTGGTGACTTTCCAGCAGGGAGTCCTCAAACAACCACAATGTACATTTATATAGCAACGTTCACATAGTCACAATTGTCCCACGTTGCTGCAGGGAACTGTACAATGAATATCTTACACTGAGGAGAAATAAAACAATCTCAGCTGCCTAATAGCTTTATTTAGTGTATTTTTTGTGGGATGAGGTGTCTGTAGGAAGACCAGCGTTTATTGTCCCATCCCTAATTTCCTCTGAACCAAGTGGCTTTCTGGGCCATTTCAGAGGGTAATTAAGAAGCAACCACATTGCTGTGGGTCTGGAGTCACGTGGACCTAGACCAGGCTGATTTCCTTCTCTGAACAATATGAATGAAACAGATGCGTTGTTACAATAGTTAATCGTTCTCACGGCCACCATTACTGAGCCTTGCTTTATTTTCTATATTTACTGATTGAATTTAAATTCCACAAGTTTGCGGTTTGAGCCCATGTCCCCACAACATTAGCCTGGACCTCGGGATGGTTAGCTCCATGATATTACCACGACACCACCATCTGACCAGCTTGGTCAGAGATGATGCTTTGGATGGATTGTCTCAAGGGAGGAGAGAAGGAGAGAGGGAGAGAGGGAGAGGGGCAGAGGGAAGTTCACAATGTTGTAACTGAAGGTACGGCCACCAACGATGAAGTGATTCATGTCGGGATGATCAGGCGATCAGTCTCCGAGAAGGTGCAGGGATTTGAGAGGATCATAGAGCTGGAAGAGATGATAGAGCTAGGGAGGTGTGGGGCCTGTGGAAGGATTTGAGAATAATCAGTGTTACAATCATAGGATCCCTGCAGTGTGGAAGCAGGCCATTTGGCCCATCAGGTCCACGCCGACCTTCCGAAGAGCATCCCACCCAAACCCATCCCATTATCTCTGCAACCCTGCATTTCCTATGGCCAATACACCCTAGCCTGCACATTGTTGGACTGTGGGAGGAAACCAGCGCAGACACGGGGAGAGGGTGGAATCGAACCTGTGTCCCTGGTGCTGTGAGGCAGTAAGGATGATCATTTTTAAGTTGAGGCATTGGTGGGACTGGGAGCCAGTTCAGTGTTGGCCACTGAGCACAAGGAGAACGGGCCCCCATTCATCACAGGTTAAGGTGACTACTGCTCACCCAGATCGAACCTTGGTTCATATATATGTGTGTCTCCCACTTTCGTAGTGCTGTGATAATTTCACTGACAACACCCTGCTTCAACAAATGGAGGCTAGTGAATGATTTCCAGGTGGCTTCTGCAGGTATGGGCAGAAAGCTTCAAAACGTTAATGAAAGACCAACCTGTTTGAGGCACAATTTCATCATCCTCACTATGCAATCCCTGAAGTGTAATGTTGCTGCTCTAATCTGCGAGCTAATGTTCTGGGCATAAAAGCAGAAATTGCTGGAGAAACTCAGCGGGTGTGGCAGTGTCTGTGCATGGAGAGAGAAACAGAATTAACATTTCGAGTGTGTTTTTGGGACACGGGTGCAAATGGAAATCTCAATTCAATTTAGAAAACGTCTCTCTGATGGGAACCCGTTGTTATAAACGAGAAGCCCCTCTCGTTCGTGAGTAGCCAGGCGTT